ATTAAGCACTGAACGTGACGTGACGTATATATGGAAGGCTTCTTCATGGAAGATTGGAAATCAGAACTGTGCTGTGCACACATTAATCCAAGAAAACAGTAGTCAGAAATGGTAAGGATTTTATTATCTTTATAACATCTGAATGATAGAAAACTCATCTCAGTTTTATACACTTAGGACAACTGCTGTCATGACAACATGTTGTAAAGTTGTAAAAAAACAGCAGAGGAGATAACAAATTAGTCTGTTTCAAATTACATCACCTCTGCCTGTGGAACACCCTTGACAATTCTGAACTAAGACATTTTTGCATTTTAAATTCTAATCAAAATTATTTACTCTTGAGCTTCATATACTTATTGATTATAAAGATTTATTTTTATTTATTTTATGGAGTTTTCTGGGACGAAGCTGACACACTGCTGCAATTACCCATTCCAAAATAATTTACTATTTTCATCAAAAACAGTTATGCATTTCATTTTCGCTATATAAAGACAAGAACTTTTACATGTTTAAAAACCCTGTCCTCTTACACCAGGTACATTATTTCCTTATATTTTGATTCCTACAAAGAGCTGGGTAATTCATATGCATCTTTCCTGTTCTCCAGTTTTTGCTATTAGTGATATTTCTCCCATGCAACATCATCCTATCCTCCCCACAGGGAACTCCCTTCATTTGATCTCAAATCCTCCATTTTTTGTTTACAAGGATCTTGGATTGTTAGACTATCACAGCGTATTACAAACGTGTACCATTGCACTCCTGTAGAGATTACAGCAACTCCAGAGTCAGAGCCACATAGCACCACTCTCCACATAGGAGAGAATTACACTATTCCAAAGGGCTGAGCCTCCCATTGGTGGATGACATTACCTGCATCAAGTGCCAAAGAAGTTACATTGCCCTGTTTCTATAGCAACTGTAGCAACTTCAGTGAATGACAGGCTTCAGCCCTGTCACCAGTTACGAATTATAAGTAGAGGTGTTTCCCCAACAGGGTTCAATCAAAGCCCTCCACAGGCACATCCAGCTTCACAGTCATGTAGTATGACTTCCCTGACAGTGAAGATTTCCACCACAATGAAAGGTCTGACCTCCTGTTGTAGGAGATTCAACATTATCCAGGTTCAGGGCAAGACATCACCTTCTGTAAATGAGCTAAGCTATACTAGCGGGATGAATGAGTTTGCTTTGTAGTTTTTCCATCAGCAAAAGGACAGTAAAGGACAGTAAAAGTAAAACATTACTGGGATAATGTGAAACAGCGAGCTGATCCTAAGGAAAAGACTGATTTAATGAATGTTTTACTGTCACTGTATATTATATTTAGATTCTCATATAATATAGTTTCTCATGAAGGTTTAATACTCAGATTACAGGCAGTATGCATTCATGGCATTTTCATGTTTAGATTTATTATCACAAACTCCAAGAGGTAACGAAATAAAGGTTAACTGGCATCATTTTTAGCTTATTAATTCACACTTTGTTAAATCTGTTTTCCCTCGTACATGTACACACTAAGTGTGACCGTCGCGGTCCCGCACGGGCTCGTGCCCTCGCCATTCCACTCCGCAACACCTGGGTGAGAACCCGGGTCTCCAGTGTAATGCAACAGGGAACCAGCCGAGTGAGCTAAAGGAGACCTCCCCCAGCCCAGGCGGCTGAGGTCCCCGCTATGCGCAGGGAGGGCGATGATGTCACCGTGTCCGAACAAGCTCCGCTCATCAAGCCGCGAGCTTCTCACCCTGTATTCCCTCTGCGGGGTGCACAGTTAAAGCAAAGGGTTATTGGGAATGTGAAACATCTGCTTAGACCACCTACAAGCCTACACAGAGATTATGTTGCACGAGTCACAGACGCTTGCTCACCTAAAAATACTGCTGCTGGGCAGGACTCATCTTCAAATTCCAGAAGAATCATCTTAGCAAAGTCCCCCAAGCTGCTCAAAGCATTTAACATCTAAACAGATCCCTTATAGCAACATTACCCCGTCCGCAAAAACGCATTCTTTCGTTTTTTATTTCAGAAATTTGGAATTAAGCTCCCCCAGTATGAGACTTGAGGAGGAGGTCCTCCAACATGCCCCCCTGACAGAGCTCAGCATGTGTTTGCTGACATCACTGCAGGCCTGCCAGGCATTGAGCACGTCTTGGGGGCCAGGAGTGCACCGAGAGCCCTGAAGACTGATGAACTCTCAGCCTGCATCCATGGCACACTGCCTGGAGAATCCCAGTCACGGGCACCAGCTAGCAGTAGACACAGGCTGCCCCATGGAGCTCAACCTGCCCTCTTACCCCACCTCTGAGCTGGACCACTCAGGAGACAATTTTATGGTTCAGGCTTGTTCTGTTTCCCTTAGATCTGAAACTGGATTACATTCAATTCAGCTTTACATGACAACTGGAGACATGTACAACTATCTGCAATATAAAATCACACTCCACTGCTCATTCTATAAGTCAGCAAATTTTGCACACACTACAGAAATGTTGAAAAACCTATTTGTAAAATCAACTATTTCACCTGAGAATCAAGGCGGAACAGATCTTCCAAAATACACCACTCAATGCCTAACCTTGCATTAATCCTGGCCAGAACAGACTGTGTGTGCTATATGAGACGCTCTTAGCGCACAGCACTGGTGAGTACAGGATCTGGAGCTGGTCGACCTTTAATTCATGCAGAGTAGAATGAGCCCAACCCAATGACATGACCTCAAATACTCCAAAAAGAGAGAGAGACCTGTGCTGGACTGCAGCAGAGATATCAGCATTTATGAAATAACACAAGCAGCGGGAAAATCGTATACTTCATTTAGTTTAAAAAGATAAATGTGAGTTCTCTTTCTTTCTGAATACCTTTACTTTACTGTGACCCATAGAGAAAGCAATATTCATTGTCATAAAATGGGTGCTGTAGAGTTTGGGTTATTTCTACTGTCATAGTAATGCTTTCGAAAAACACAAAACACAAAATACCATATTGTTTCAACAATGAAAGGTCAGAAAGCCAAAGCAAAGTATATACTGTACGCAACGCTCAAGCCACTCTGCCTGATGCAACGTGAACCAGTAGACTATGCCCAGGTGACAAACCCCTCCAGCCAGGAGAGAGTCAGAACAATAATCAGCCAGCATTGTGAGCCAAGTACAGCAACTGTGCAAACATAGGCCAGGCTAACAATACTTCAAGGAGCAGTTAGGTCAACTGTCAAAAACAAAATAGCATTCCTGTGTTTCCTTGGAGACAGATTGCTCAGCCGAAATCTCTCCCAGTGCCCTCAGGGATCAGAATGGTGAACCTCAGCAACACCTCAGGTAAAAGCAGCTGTTGCTCAGTCTAGTACTGTATAAAAATGATGCTGTTCACTTACTTCAGTATGACAGACACACCACAAAAGTTGCTGTATAGTGTAGCCTTCAGGAAAGGCAATCCAGAATTCAAAGTGTGACGACACAAGAGTAAGCCTGTTTTCTTGAAAGAGCCGCCTGACCCTAAAAGACTGGCATGGACTCATTACCTGAGTACCTGCTGAACAAAACAAAGTATGTGCCAATCGTCCCTATGGGTAGCATCCAAAAGGTTGTAGGAGAACACTGCCCACATTATCCACATCTTCCAAGAGTATCCCCTCCTTAAAAAGATCCCGGTCTGCTAATGGCACAGACTCTGTACACCTACATGTTGTTGATGGAAAACTGAAACATTTTGCTGAAGCAAAGCCGACTCCACCTTCCACAGTGCTGGTGAGTGCAGCAGGACTCTTAAATGTGCACTCCAAAGTAATGGCTATGAATGAAAGCATTCCTGAAATGTTCTGATGCCAGTGCAAGATACCAGTGCCAGAAGGGCAGAATATTAGTTAAAGTCTGCTTGGATAACCCTTCCCTCATATTTCTACATTTCTGAGAAATGTTCTGTTAAGTCACTGGATAAGGCTCTAGTGACCATCAAGATCACACACTGTAGAACTTTGAGAACTAAATTGCTTTCTACAGCTGAATAAATTCAAAACTGCATTCTTTTGGACACGTTCAACATCTATCGTGCAAGAGTCCTGCGTCAACATTTGGTTTTTGAAATGAGAGTTACTTTGTCTCAAAGTTTTCTTATACCTACAGTAGCACTTGGTATTACTATGCGTTATCAAGAAATGTTAAATGCATCTGACACTTTTAAGTCCTTCAGCCTTGTCACACTACAAAGTGTTCGCAGAAGTCCCGAGTTCGTTTTCGACACCAGTCTTCGTGGTTCGTAATGTGTGCCTTGCAAGTTTTCGATAACTATAAAAATACTGATTAATTTAAATACCTAAGTTGCGAACGTTTCACTTGAATGAAAACAGAACGTGCCCTTTTAAAATCAGTTTTCACAGATAAACTCAGTGATAGCGTTATCTAGTAATGTGTTTGCATGCAGCAGCTGATGTTCTTAAACTAGTCCATTTCTCTCTGACATGCTTCATCAGAATTGTTCGTCTATGAGCACTGGTTAAATTATTGTCAAGCACTTTTGTCACGGAACCAACATCTTTTTTTTTCCCTCTCGGTCTTTCTGGATTCCAGAGCGACCACACACAGAAATGCGCGTCCAAAAAAATTACATAACTGAGCAGAACATTATTCTATTTCAAAATCCACCTATTCATGGAAGCTTGCGAGGAGAAAACAGCGTCTCTCTTTAGAAATCGCATTGCCGTATGCACCTGATCCCTGACAGGTAATGTACAGTATAAATCACGGGATGTCCCCTAGCACGATGATGACAATGACAACCAAGGTGCAGAAAAAATACGCTTTCCTTTGTGGCACCAGCTGGTCGTTTCTCACCTTTTTTATTCAGAAACGTGATGTCTTTCGAAACACACACATTCCTATAACTGTGAGCACTTAGAGCTCCTCACTGGATGCAGTGTCCACACGGAATTGAAACCTTAGCATAAATCACCTAAAGGAGACCGAAGAAAAATCAATGACAGAAAAATGTCTTGCCTTGTCGAAATCCTGCCTTGCAGCTCTTCTCGATCCTGTCAGAACACCATGGATGCCTTCTGTCCGATCGTCTGAATATCGCGTGCTGTTTCAGCCAAACCGATCAACTTGGTGAGGCTGTACGAGCCAGAAAGCCTGCAGATGCGTCCGGGGTTGGTAATGTTTAAATAGCCACTCCTATTCTGGAGGCAGGCTCGGAAAAAAGCTACCGAATTGCAGAAGCTGCAGTCTTAGCCGCTGGTTTTCTGTCTTTATTATTTTTTTTGGCCAACTCTCTGCCCAGCCTCGAAACAACCCCCTGCAATGAATTATTAACGGAGAGCAAAATTAAAATACCTGCGAGGCTTCATTCCGAAGCGCAGACTGGGCAGTTTGGAAATATATCTGTTCTCGACTGACGCGCTCCAGTCATCGCACACCAGCTACATTCGCAGCCTTTTTTACTGCCGTGGACTGAGCGCCCATTGCAATGCGGCGAATTTAACCTTTTACGTACCGGAGAATATTGCATGGATTTGTTTTCTTAATTTAATTGTTTTTTTGTAGTCTTTTTGAATTGCTGATGAAACGTATCCTGGCGTTATCGAACAGATTGAACTACGTAGAAGCAGGCCTGAAAACAAATCTCGTTGTGTTAATTTTTTTTAGTGAAACGTCCGGCTCATAAAATGAACTCCGACCTCAAACGGTTGATCGATTTGTAAAATAAACACCTAAGAATATATGGATGAGTTTCGACCTTGTTAGTGGTCTAAATAAGACTTTAGTAGTTCAGGTGGGTAGCTGCGTCAGCATGCGTAGGCTGCAAAGGAACAAGTAATAGGTGTATTCCATGGTGGAAAAAAAGAAGAGAACACCTTTCGGCCGTGGAGAACACCTGAAGAAGGGTCACCTGAGATCACGTGGACAAAGTCTATATCAAAGAAGCCTTTCTAATTTTCTAGCTACGCAGATTGTTTAAATATTTTCAATAGAGGCAAGTTGTGTGTTACCGCACCTCAGGTGAAAATAAGACCAATCAACACCCGTGACACCTCTGCCAACGTCTGAAGGGAAACATTAGATCTGTATATTTCTAAAATGGAGAAAACAGCATATAAAAATACACTGCAAAATACAGTATTTCACCGTTTAACAGAATGTGTGGCACACTCAAAGCATTTTTGTTCCATGTTGTTAGACATACTTCTTTTCAAAAGGGAAAAACACACTCACAAAGTTGCACAATGCAAATTGCCTAAAGGGAATCTCAAAATAGCATCCTGACAAATAGCATCTGTGATGTGCTAACTCCATTGCATTGTTGAATAATTACAAAATCATAAAAATTAGCATGATGGCAAAGGTTTCATTAATATTGTAAGGGCGATGACGTCACCGCGCTTGTAAGCCGGCTCTCACAACCTGCAATGTCAGCCGTATGCGTTACAATATATATTTTTTCTTTAAACTGTAAAATCGGGTGGGCAGTATGACGTTGTGGTGGACACAGCTACTGTCTCACAGCTCCAGGGTCTTGGGTTCGAATCTGACCTTGGGTGACTGTTGTGTGTAGAGTTTGCATGTTCTCCCTATGTTTGTGGATTTAGCTCCTCTAAGGTGTCCCTCTCCTTGAGAAGCATCAGTAGGACTCCTTCCTCAAGTTCTCTGCCCTGACTAGAGCAGCTCTCTACAACAGTCAGAGAGTACAGTAGATCAAAGCAAGCAAGAGAATAAAAGCTCTTTATAGAAGCTTCTGGTTCCACTTCGTATGTCATTAGAACAATTGGTTTATTTAATTAACCTACATCCAGCAAAGAGCCTTGAACATTCCCTATACTGATTACAATTTCATTTTACTCAAGTACCTCAGCAACAGACAGCCTTTTTCGACAGGAACTGCATACTAGAAAAAGGTTCACTTTTGCAAAGCATAAGAAAGCGAGAGGTCAAGGAATTTATTTGAATAATGTGCCTGGTAAGGATCAAACTAGGCAGATTTCTTCTTCAGTGTCACATATTGTAGCGAACAATGTGTGTTCCTTGTCATAGTCCTAGCAGTTATACCAACATGCAGAGAAGGAACACTGTAAAGAGAGAAAGGAACTACTGTTTTAAAACATGCAGATGATATCCAGGGCTAGCTATACTCTCTGAATATGAAGATGTGCACTATAATGACTGTAACTGAAAAATAGATGTTTCCAAGCACCTGAGCTTAGGGTACAGAGTAACCTAACTTTCCACAAATCACTCCACTCATCAAACTGCAATATTGTCAGTGTGGGTCTCAAGCTTGAAACAATGCTCTGACAATGCATACCCCACCAACATCTGCCCGCCCGCCCGCGCACACACGCACACACACACACCACCCCACAGGTTGGTACTCTGGGTGAGCTGGGCCGATTAATGATTAGCGAATTCAGACAGGGAAGTGTAAAAGCACACTTTTTGGCGATTCAAAAATCACTTTAAAAATCGTACAAATCGCAGCTGTGTTGGTGAGTCGTGCCTACTGTACACTTGATTAGGCTGGGGGGCTGCCTTCCTGCCAGCATGACTGACCGGGATAAGGAAGTACCTTCTTTACTGAGCTGCCTTATCTTTCCACCTTTGGACTCGCCGAGGACAGAGCAGTCACCAGCCAGCCTGTCCTTTTGTGTTTGTTCGGTTGAGATGGAAGTCACCCTGCTAAGTCTCTTTTCTCGTGTTTGCTTTTCTTTTTTTTAAAGGGTCCCTGGCTTATTTTCCATTCATTCATTATAAGATTTTAAAATGGTATTCTTGTGAAATATGTTCCTCTGCAGGTGAAGTCGGAAAATCGTGGTCACAGATCTTTTACACGGGCAGCTTATTTATTCGGCTTTTGTGTCTTGGTACTGTGGTCTGCTGTCTGAGTTATGGTCCCATTGATTCTCACTGTTCTCACTGGGGCATTGCAGAGATAAATAAAGCACTACAATAACCTGTGTTAAAGGACTGTTTTGCCGCATTGTCTCAATAAAATCCATTAATCGATGGAAAATCCTTTCAATCCAGCACCGCTAATAAAAGAGTATGCTGATAATTTTATTTACTGCTGCTGATACTGGTGCTGGAATTTGAGTCTCATTTGAAAATAAAAATAAAGAAATAGCATCCACAACCCACAGTGTACCCATACAGTACAACCCATTGTCATTCTACGCTTGGCAAACTAAAGTGGCACTTAGTGAATATTTGGGTCTGCAAAACCACTGTTCAAACCTGCACAAATATCATTTAATGTACAGCTAACTACTTCAATTGAAAAAGCAATAATATGTGTTATTCACTTCTTCCTGAGGGAAGAGAATATTCAGGCAGAGAAATTTTTACCTGTAGATACACCTGTAGATGGTTTTCCAAACAGGCACTGGCTTGTTACAGTTCTCAAATTATATACAAATGTAATATGTCTTACTTCTACAGCAATGCTCAGATGTATATGTGCTGGCACATTTATAGCTGAGTTCTTTATTTCTACATGTAAAAGCATTCTTAAAATGTACTCTCAAATGTTATCATACATTTATAAATCGAGGGATAAGACATAATATAAAAAAGAACTGATTCAAAAGTTTTGTGCCCTTGTCAGACCCAGGTAGGTGTAAGTTCTGTCATATGATTTACTGTGTGTATTCCCCTCTCACTGCTTGATAGACTAGCTTTTTCCCACTTTAAAAACCCAGCATGTTTCAGGGAAGACTGTCATTGCTTGGAGCAATAGCAAAGCATAGGTTTTCTCAGGAAAAACTGCAGTTGTGTTCATGTCCTCATCAGACAGGGAAGACTTTAGAAGAGAAAAAAAGCATTGAGAAACAAAATTAACCATAAATCTTCAAGGTATGACATCAGGAAACAGAACGTGTACATGATTAAGAAGAAAAAAAGCTTTTGAAATGTCTGAATCCTGTATGTACAGTCATATGGAGGATCCTTTTCACCACAGTTTACGCAATACAATGGTTCTGACAGATATACTGGGGACAGTGGTTGTCCTGGGTGGAGTGAGCTCCATTCTATGTATTTTGCTGTGCAGTGATACTTATTCCTCCCCTTTTACAAACATCAAAGTGTACACCTCTCCTTCTCTTGTATATCATACCTGCATGTAGGAAACACCCCTTCTTGAAGAGTGCTTCCATTTTTTTATACACCTGTCACGGGCTTTCAGTCATTTTGAAATACGCTTGCTGGAAGCTCATCCTAGCTAAACACATTCCTGTGTCAGAAAACCTCTGTCAGATGGTAAACTCATCTTTCGGAGCTGTTTACCAATGCGGTGAAATGATAATCAGAGATATAAGACAAGTTGGCACAGCCTTCAGTTCATGTTGGGTCCAGCCCACATTACAGTTGGCATTATATACAGTAGCTCTTGCTTGCAATTATTAACCACTTTAATAATCACATCACTAATATTGTTCATGGCATGAGGACCCTGATGCTTTTTACCTTTCTTTTTCACTAGTTCAGGTGACTATTCTTGTTAAGACTAATCATGTTGTGACAGGATTTGAAAACAGTCTTGCGCATGTGTGCATGTACATTTACTGTATGCTCAATTTATCTTTTCCGTGAAAGTAAGAATTCCCTTTGTTTCTACATAGTTCCTCCACTGATTACTACTGTATATATTTTAAGGATTTAGTCACTTTCATCCAAAGTAATTTAGAAACACAATAATTCAGAGCAATTCACAGTGCAAACTTGGTTTTAGGTCATGTAAGGATAGAGCACCAGGATATTCACTAACTTTGCTCAGGGCAACACGTGGTGACTCAGTGGCAGAGCTAAAGATTAAAGCCAGTAGCGACCTACTAACAAGCTTGTATTTTCAACCAGGTTTTTAAATCCATTCCCCTTTGTCTGTCAGTGAAAAATGCATAACAAAAAGTGAGTTGGTATATTGTATTTTCCTTATTATTGCCCATTCTGACAGCTGGTGATAGGACTGAAACAGAAAATTCAGCTCCTGGTTTACTTTCACAAAGAATATATCCTCATTGAGAAGAAAACAAACCAAGAGACAGTTAACTGAACATTCTTTGATTTTTTTTTGAAATCTTGCAGTTGTTTGATAAAGCACTGGGGGAAGTCAGTCTCTTCGCAAGGAAGGGAATTGCACAGGTTCTTCGTATTCATCACTAGTGGAGAAAGATCTTTCCTTTGCAGTCCAGGTCCCAGTGCAATACACCTCTTAAAGAAATCCTCAGAGGTTTTAACCATAACTAAGGCTGTGAAGAACACACTGACCTGCGTTGGTGTACTGTATTCCACTGCAATGTTAGTCATCTTATAGATTGATACAGTACATAATGCTGATCCGTTTTCAAAAGCTGCCAGAATGTAACCTAACTCTATTCCACCTTTCATGTTTGGAAAGGCACCTTTCTCTGCCTTCTGCTTTCATTTGCACATAATGGTTGTTTTTTCCCAGGTAAGATCATTGTAAACATTGTAAATGAATATCGAATGTTATAGAACC